TTGATTGGAGAAAAAAGGCAACGAGGATATGGACCTAGCGAACCACATAGAAGTAAAATTTATATAATACTGTCTGGGCTCCTAACGAGGAGCATGTGCGTCAAGAAGGCGATGGGTCGTTTGTGCAGTGATTTAAGGGACGATGCGACCTCATGACGAAACGTCAGAGCACTTGAACCCTCGTTCATAATTATCGTTCGCGCCTATACATCCAAGCTAGGCAACCAGTGATCTATAGATAGCCTAGTCTGGGAAGTTTCAACCTTGCTCGATTAAATTAGAACTCATCAACGTTCTGTTTCGCAGTGAATTATCCGTGATAATAAGAATTTTTCGTCCGGTCCGGAAAGGGTGAGTGTCCTATGTAGACGAGAATGAGAGTGAAATCGCGAGTGGATGCGACAGATATATCCAGGTGACTTCCTAGAACTTCTGGAAATATAGCGGATCGAGAGGCAAAACAAAAGTGGAAATGTTCGCAGGATACAGCGGAAATCGACAAGAGTTTGTGATGGTGGTTTTACTTCATTGACGGGCCGACACGAGCAGTACACGATCACATGAGTACCACTGGCACGTGTCCAATAGCCGTCTCAGAGTGGTAAAGTCTTTATGGCAAAGCCATTGCAATTGAGTGCTTCGGCGATGAATTTTTGAAACTTGATGTAAACGCGCGGAAATTAATAGTTTCATTCCGGATCATTACATACACGACGCGTCTGGAATATCTATGGGTATGGGTCTTGCTTCGATTTGGACAGAGGCTGCATCTCCACGTTCACGTCTGACGTTTGAAATGGCCCATCCGGTTTCGTCGAGCAATTGATTCAGCTCATCGTAGGTACGCTCTTGAGCGTTGAGACAGATAAACATCTTGTAAAGAAAACCCCCTTAAGTGTATACAAACGACGGAGACTTCGCAGCTTACCGCCATATCCAGGACGTACGAAGGCTCGTTCAATGACCCGAAATTAGCCAGAAGAGGGTCTGGTGCTTCGTCCGCTCCTTTCCCATTTACAAGAGCACCCGTTGGAGATCGACAGACGTAGGGCATGACGCAGTCCATAATAACTAGTCTAGTTGACTCCTGGGCCGCATGACGGAGACGTTTAAGGATTTTGACGCAACTACTGTAAGACCAATTGTGAAGTATAAATTTCAGCAGAAAAACGGAAGCATCCTTATGTGGCTGAGGGTCGAAGAAGTTGTATGCTTGATTCTTCAGTCAGTACATTAAATGTATCCGAGGAAGATATTAAGGACACCTTCGAGTTTGACTTGTCCTGTCTGTAGTGCTTCCGGCATTCTTTCGGTCCAGACCTTCGGAGTCGTTGTCAGAGTTAAGCGTTGCTAGTAATCTGGTTCGTACCTGTGTTGCATTATCGACAACTTCTGGCAAATCTTGTACAATCAGCCTTAGGTCTGGAAACTGCTTTGCCAACGGAAATAAGATATTGCCAATGTTGCCTCCTACATCAATCACTTTTGAACCTTTAGAGAGCGTATTCCATTCAAAAGCTGAAATTATGGAGTGCAACGAAGCATCCATCTCCGGTTATTCGAGACCCTTACGAAGGAAAGTAAAAGTAATTACCGTTTAGAATGATGTCAGGTCGCTGCATTCTTTCCATCCCCTCCATAGCTGAGTCGAAACGGATACGTCGACCTCTTTTCTCATCCAATTGTATAAAACTGTAATACGACAGCAAGGTATTATAGGCCTTATTCAGAGGTGTACGAAGCTGCTCTTCTTCATGAAGCATGGCAGGGTCATTTAAAGTTTCCCAGGCAAAAGCTGCCCCTTTGAAGCATTCATCTAAACTGAAAGAAGATATAGGAATGGAGTGGTAGAAGTCGGTGAAACCTACTGCAGTCCAACCAGAGCGGCTATCCCATTAGTGTTTTTATATTTTTCGAAAGGCCTATAGGGTATGTCAGAATGTCTTTCAATATACCCTGCCAACTTGTCGAGGGATTGAAAACCTACTTTGAATGAATCTCGCTGATAGACTTTTGGGTATCCAATAAACTCGAGGCCCGGTTATTCGCGAATACATCGGGAGAAACTTCCCTATAGACATGATTGGAGCAGAGGTATCGGAGAAACCGTGCTAAACCAGTTTTTCAGGTGCTCAGCTACTCGAAAGCGGAGGAATGCAAAGGCGATACCTAGCTTCTGAGGATCTTGACCATTGCACTTAGCAATATCTCGGACATGCATTCCCTACAGGAGAGCAAGAGATGAATCAGGGGAACGTCAAGTATGCCAGCGGGATAGATACCTCTTTCCCCGCGTCTCTCAAAATCTCCGTAACATGAGATTCTAGACACACACGTAAGGCCATGGATTTGAAAAGCTTCACAGATCGTGAGTCAACCAACGCAAAATGTTGATGTACATAACTTCACTTACTCCTCCTACGACGTGAAATAAAACGACTTGCGGCGGTGCTATAATAGCTTCCAGCTGTAGAGCTGCCGCACCGATGATTCTTGTAGCCTCCATGACTTCACTGTTATTTCTGAATCCTTCCGATGAAGGCTCAAATGGCTCTCTGATATCTGGGATCGAAGTTCCATCTCTGGAACATGCCAGCTGGAGTGAGCCAACGGCTTTGGTAATTGTATCGAGTAGCTGTTGAACTTCGGAAGACATAGTGGCAGTATGGAACGGAACTATCGAATGCGCTCAATGAGATTTTATACTGGAAAACAAGACACGGCCGCGACTATGTCTCGTTTCGGTTAATCCAGGGAACCCGTTAGATTCCCAGTATCCCGCCAGATACTCAATAAACCAATCTCAGATACAGGAAATCAACCGGAACAACGTTCTTTCCGGGCTCCATCGTAAACATGTTGGTGTAACGGAACGTGAATACTAAAGAAACACAAGACTAAACTGGATTCCGTATAATCGTTGCCCCCAAGCCGGTCATACCAAGTCTAACCTACCATAATTGCATGCCGGCGAAAAGTGTAGAAACCTCACCTATAGCCTGTCCAGCCTCGCGCGGGATCTCAACGGCTGCGAAAGCGCTCTAACGCGGCACTAGACTGCCCCTTTTGGCGGTAGTAAGAGATGAACCTCATTCATTCTCGCCGCTTTTCCCTCTATTCGATACGATTTAGCTCTATAACCCACTCTAAGATGCCCAAAGTTCCGAAGTCAAAATGGGATAGTGGCAATCGGCCAAGCAGACCATCGTATGCAACGAAATTGCATTTGGATTATTTCCACAAATACGTATGTATCAAGTTATCCTTCCAAAACTCATTTACAACACCTTCCCGGCTCCGTTCTTAATCTTTATATTCGTCAGCTGTCCATTAGCCACATCCGCCGTCACCACGCAGTGATGGTTCGGAGCGTCACCGCACTTGGGAGCATTCCACAGCTCGAACGAAACATGAGTGGCGGTCGCCGTTGCCGAACCGGATGTGGCGGCGTGGAAAACGATATCTTTTGAGGCTACGGGTTTATTTGGAAGTCCCAATTTTGCGAGGTGGTCATTGATGGCTGTGACGGCGTATCCTTCTACTCTATCCTTTGAGAGCGAGGATGCGTAGTAGACGGTCAGACGGGTGTCTCCTTCAGATGAAGTTGTCGATGCAGAGTCTGCGCGTGGAAGGTGGGATAATTGGTCCGGAGAGCGGTCTACGATAGATCCGGAGAGCTCCCTTGCGTCCATATCGACCTAGATGAATTGGACATTAACACTCATTCACAGTGAAAATAGAACCCAAGCTCGGACTACTCACAGGAACGTAAGGTGCAGCAAAAGCAACGCAAGCGAAAGCAGTGACAATGACGGAGAGTGAGAGACGCATTGCGAAGAGAAGAGATGTGTAAGAGAAAGATTGATGAACGCTTCTTTGAAACCAGCAAAGAGGTAGGTGTGAATTCGACCTGCGAGTTGGGAGTTCAATGGGCTGAATCCCTCCTCTATTTATACCTTTCCTTTCCCCTCCCCAGGTATGGGGAATGTTCTTTTTCTGCCGATCCTTTCGTCCCTCGTGTGGTAATTTCCAATAATCTCAGTTAATCATGGAGGCAGGGAAGTTTAATCGAGGCGTTTGGGTACAGCGACCATTTCTGATTTCTATAACTTCGGTTAATTGTGATGGGATGTTAGGTAGACGCACACACCTACCGAGACCAATGTATTCAACATTGACAAGTCAGCCAGGGTATGTCTCGAGTAAAAGTCAGTAGTGTATCAAAATGGCCAGATTCTCCCCTAGTGAAAGAATTCTTCGCACTATTGACTTGCGTAGAATCAACGCTATGGTTATTCGCATGATTCCATCCTCAAAAGCTACCACAAGGTCAACCTTTAGAACGGCAGTGCAAAAACGAAATACCCGTGAACCCTGGCAGCGAATCACACTCGATTCTGATTTGCATCGACCAAGAACCCACGATAGGCGCATAGTCTAGTACGTGGTTTTTTTCTTGGCTTCGAGAACAAGTTTACGACGTACATTTACCCGGAATGATAAGTCGAGATCTCGCAGCGACTCAGATGGACAGCGATTCATAGTTAAGCTTAGGATTCATCTTGGGAATGAGGGTGAGCGCCGGTTTCACCTGGACCATGCGAGCATGCAGGGAGGGAAAGATATTCGCAGGCCTGGAGGAGGCCGAATGGCAACGACCCAAAGCGGGACAGCCTTTTCAACCCTTGCGCCTACCGTGCACGAGAATCTTCTACGGACGCGATAATACTTACACCACTTCGATATCTCCTCAGCTGCCACAGCATTCAATAACCTTCCTAATGTTCAATCAGGTCGTCGCCGTCATCGCCATCGTCGTAAGAGGTAAAGAAAGATTGTACCTAGAAAAGTTCTATGAGCGAAATAGCATACACACACCTATAAAAAAAAAAAAAGTCAAATCACAGCGAACACGATCATAAACCAAAATGTCTTTCAACCCGAAACTGGGGCCATGAACAAGAAAAAATAGCGCAAAAATACAGAACATACTTGAGAATGGGCCTGACCGGGAATTGAACCCGGGACCTCTCCCAATCGACTTGCTTATGCAAGCGGATTTTGTTAAACCCGAAGGGAGAATCATACTACTAGACCATCAGGCCGTTATTCACATGGGCACAAACATGCACTACATGTATTTTCCCATGCGCATTCTCGTACAAACTGATCATCTTTGACTCTGCTCCCTTTCGAACGATTCATTCGACAAACGTTTGGGAGGGTTTTATGGAGGTTGAATTAAGGTGGGAACATGCCCTACGGATGTATTGGTCGTATCTAGGCAGTCAAAGCGGTTTTTATACTAGATAATAACGGGAATATGAGAAAGCTATCGGGTATAAATACAATGCTACCATAAAGTACATATAACATAGAAAGTCGATAATGGATCCGAATGTCGATGAACGGTACGTACTGCAATAAACATAGCAACCATCCCTTTCGGCTCCATTCGTTCCCAATCATAAATCATCTCCAGGCTGTAGGCACTACACATTCCGAGCCGGCAGCGGTTCATCGAGCATTTTCCTCCCATCCCTCGTAGATTGAACCATAGCGACGATGGATATAATAATGATCACCGTTAGCACGATCCACCCGAGCCACGCAAACGCCAGTAATGCAGATAGAATTCGACAGGATTCAAAGTGTTGACAGTTTTCGAGATCGCCGAAAATACTCTGCGCGCAACGAGCACAGTTAGATAACGAGACACAACAAACAATGTTCGAGAAGACGCACAGAAGCAGCAGCGGCCCCGCCGATCCATAGGAACCACAAAATGACCAAACCGATGAACTCTTGCCAATATAGCCGTATATAGTGAAATTTGATATTTTCGATGAAGAATATACACAGCCTGCGAATGGAAGAAATGAAAATTTGCTTCATGATGCGCAGCAGCAACTTGTTTTAATCTGCATATGAAGTCCACGTACATTAGCACGAGCCAGAGCATCGTTGCGATGGAGGTGAAGAGTAGTTCTGCGATGACCGGGTCTGAAAAAGTTCGAGTCAGGCTCGCGAATGAAGGCGCTGCAAGGCATGGAGTATACCGTAGAAGTTTACGCTGAGAGTCTCATTAATTCGAACGCAACACAGTACGAATAGAATGAAGGTGAAGACGAGCTAAAATGAGCTGAAGAGTCAGTAGCTGTGATCCTGGAATAAAAGCGAGACTCACCAAAGCAATATAGAGGAACGTTCTGATCCAACCCAAGTGCGCCATTTTCGAAGCTGTTTGCAGCTGCTAATAGGAGAAGATTCCTAAGGTTCCAGTAGAGTACGACTTGGTATATTAACGATGAGTGGTATAAGTGCAATTCGTGGAAGCCAGCTATAGGTTAATGTGAAGAGGAGTGGCGGTTGGAAGAAGAGAAGTGAAGCTGTTGAATTCGCCCCATCAGGCTTCTGCATGGCACGCTGACGTCATGTCCGGGGTGTGTTCGGATATCCGGTCCGGCTCTGCCTTTTATATCGACATCTTAGCGTCGATACTTTCAGCGAGACCAAGTATTAAGTACCTTTTACTTTATCGAGTACATTACAAGTATCCTTAGTGCTGCCCGTGGCAACAATCCCCGACTCCAGCAAGAGAAAGTAATTGTTCTGTCGCAACGGTGATACATTCGGTTGCAATGCTATCAACTGAATTCTTCAGAGTGTTCAGGAAGCTAGCCGACAAAATGTCATTGGGAAAATCAACCCTCTTTTTCGAGAGGAAAAGATCTGAGCAAAGGATGTGCGATACCAGCTTCAAATGTTTGCAAGTACATCTCATAGACAGATAAATACAGATTCCTATCGAAGGGCGACTGAGTGGTATACGCCTCGATACATGTTCTCGCAATGTTGGGGACAGCAGCAGCAGCTTTGGTAGTTCAAGAAGAATTTAAGGGAAAGCACATCAGGGTCTCTAGCCTTAGTTTTTCAGTTGTAAGTCTCTCAACAATTCAGTGGCAGGGGAACTGCAAAAGGGACAACAGGCAACTGTATTGCTATATCCACTAACAATGGTTATTGTTTACAGAAGCTCTATCCCAACTGCATAAGCCAGGGGGCGGAGAGAAAAGAGAGAGAATGTAGGGCCTGAAAAGTTTTCCACGTATGAGAATATAGAGATTAGATAAGGGTGTGTGAAAGAGTTACTTATTGGGGCGAAATTTAGGAAGTTGGCCGATCGAAGCAAACACAACCCTCCCTTCCCTTCGGTCAGAGTCGGGGATGGCCCGACAAATTTGTTAAGCAGATATTTAAAGGGCTATCACATGCATGTACATCGCGATGCTTTGAGAGCATTTGCTAGAATCGTCTCCTTGACAGCTGCAGAGATGAGGCGAATATTTGCAGGATCGTCCCCCCGAGTTAAGCTAGAAGGCAATTCGATAATATCAGAGTATCCACCGGTACACCAACAATACAGTACTTACTGTGGATAGACACTTAATCTAGCACGATTAAATTGCATAAACTTCCACAGAATGTACTTGGTCGCCTTATTGATATCATTACCACCTGTGTATTCTGGGAAGTAGCGCTCTAATGGGACCTAAATGTAACGTTGAAACAGACAACATTTACCGCAAGAACATAATGAAACCATTACCCTGGCCAACTTTTTCTTGAACTCATCAATTTCGTTCAGGAAAAGGATTATAGTTGTGTTAAGAAACCAGCGAGAATTGATGACACTCCCGAACAGAATTAGAGTTTCCATCAGTCGAGTCTGTGGATCTCAATGTTAATGATATGGGATGATCAATTACAACAAATCAAACGCACCTTGTTGCTATTGTCCGGTAAAACTTGGTCATAATCAGTCAATGCTACGCAGAAGATAATATTAGTGACAGTTTCAAAGCAGTGTATCCATTTTCGATATTCAGTCCGCTGACAGCCTACATAATATATGCAAAGGCTGTTTGCAATAAAAGTCAATGGCGCATAAGAATATGGGACGAAGTAGGACCCACGAAAGCTGCCCCACGGTGAGACGAATTTCTTCTATTCCCGTGCTCTTCTCCTCCGACACTCTCGATATGTCGGCTTCTGTTGGGAGATAGTCGGGGGAGCCTATCCGGAGAACGTGGTCGAGCAAACTTTACAATATAGCTTGATGACGGGAGTAACACCAGAAATAATATACTCACTAAGGCGCACCATCCATAAGATGAAACTCACTGTCCTTTTGGTCGAGGACCTTACTCATGACAGGGTCGGACCAGAGCTGATGTATTGCATATGCAATATCTGGGGAAAGTGTGAATGGCGTTCCTTCATCTACCCTGCAGTTCATGACCTTGTCTGCGAACATCTACATATAGAGTAGATGTAACGTCATTAGGTGAACAAAACAAAGTACACCGTGCCTCAACACTCACCGTATTGGATTCGACGCCAAAGTCCATCTCAAACTTGCGCATGGCGAGAATAATAGCCTGCGCTGAATAAAGGACAGTTTGGCAAACTTTACTGCGATATACAGCGTGCTCTTGCTCTGAGAGGCCAGAGTTTCGCTTTAATCCGTTGACAATAGATTTTTGAGACTCTTGGGAGCCTGTTGAAGAGTTAAAGAAAGGAAGGCGACCGGTAAAGGATCAGATACTCACCTAGAATGAGAATTTTGCATTCTCTCTTGAAAATCCTTGAGTCCTCCTCAATTTGCCTGTCAATGGCGTCACTTCTCTTGTCTTTTTGGTTTGGCTGAGATATAAGATTGCCCATGAGTGTTAGAGGATGGTCGCTGGAGGACGTAGGAAGCACGCAAGAAGATGAAGGCTGTCAGAACAAAACGAACGCGAACCTGAGATAGACCAGGCTTTTGACAAGCTGGTTCCCAGCCCATATAAACGCGTTTCTAGGGTCCAATTCATCCCAACCCACTTGGTGCGGCCCGGAAGGGCTGCATACCGTAGAAGATTACGCTGAGAGACTCATTAATTCGAATGCAACCCAGTGCAAAGAATCCAGAATCCAGATGAAGACGAATTATAATGGGCCGGAAAATAAGCAATTTCGCCTCCCGAAAAACGGATATTTGTTTCTCAGTCGAATGCGGGCCAATATGGATTCACGACAAGAAGTATAGGTATGGCTCGTAGATACCATTTATTAAATGATAACAACAGAGAGGTCAATTCGGGGAGGAATAGTAGTGGTTGAACGAAGAGAAGGTGCATAGAGTAGATTATAGATACTCTCGCTCAGCCTGCTGGGCCTACGGCTTACTTGAGGAACAGTACACTGGGACGAAGTTTAATCTGCGTCTCGGAAACACCCGAGAACTTTATATTTTGCGAGCATTTTGCGAAATGTATAAGTGCAGTTCGTGGCAGCCAGTTATCAAATAGATAGGTCAATGTGAAGAGGAATGGCGGTTGGAAGAAGAAAAGCGAAGCTGTCGAATTCGCGCCATCAGGCTTCTGCATGGCACGCTGACGTCACACTCGGAAGCAAATTCCGTCCGGCGTCTGCTCGGATGTCCGGTCCGGCTCTGCCTCTTATATCGACCTCTTAGCCTCTTTAGCGAGTTGCAAAAGCAAAGAAGACCCAGAGAGGGCGGATAGATTTATATAAGATCCGTTTGTGTCTAACCTTATCCCGCTTACTTGGGATGTTTGCAAATCGTTGCCGACAGTAGGGTGACCAAGTACGCGCTAAGTATCTTTTACTTGATCGAGTACATTACATTGGGGGGAAGTTTAATCTGCGATTCAAAATACTTGGTTTATTTCGGAAACCCATGATATGCCCCGACAACTTTGTTAAGCGGATATTTAAAGGGCTATCATAGGATGTTCCGTGCTTTGAGAGCATTTTGTAGAATCGTCTCCTTAACAATTGAAAAGATGAAGCAAATATTTGTAGGATCGTCCCCCTGGGTTAAGCTAGAAGGCAGGCAATTAAATAATATCAGAATAACCAACAATACAGTACTTACCACGGATAGACACTTGATCTAGCACGATTAGCTTGCATAAACTTCCACAGAATGTACTTGGCCGCCTTATTGATATCATTACCACCTGTGTATTCTGGGAAGTAGCGCTCTAATGGGACCTAAATGTAACGTTGACACAGACAATTTTAATTTTACCGCAAG